TCTAAGAGAAAGTGTAACTTTTTGAATGGCCATTTTGCCACTTATCCATCGTTCAGGAAGTCAGATTCAGTACAACGTGTGTGATTGTAATTTTTAAAATGATTTATTATTTCCTATATCGGCTAACGGTTAAGCTAAAACACCATAATGAATTGTGATGGCCACTTGTAAATGGCCTTCACTTGTGGCAGATTACACGCATCCCATTTAAAACAGTTTCAAACTTATTTGGTATCACTATTGTATCATTGATAACGGCGTCGAGACCACAGTGATGTTACACAGAATTCTCTGTGTATATATTTAAGAAGATGAAAAGTGAGTGTGTTTTCTTTAAACTGAGCTACAATACATGTTTTTTTTTACACATCTATGTAAAATCTCTCTTAATTAACAGGATAACAGAATGGCAACTTTACAGATCATAAATCTGCATCTCATAATGAATGATCACTTACACATTCTGTTGAGCCGTGCAACTTTTCCAAAGAAAGTGAAATGTAAAACACTCATAATAGTAATAATCAAGTATTTTGCATAAATTTGAAGTAATTACTTTTAATGTTCTACATGATTCAGTAAATCTGTCATGTGTGTGCATTCATTTATATTCATAATATGACTTGAACTGAAACCAACAGTATTCATTCTAAGTTGATGACTGGATTAAAAAGAGAATACAACGTACATAGTATTCTCCTGACAACAAGTCACCGGACATTATTGATAGAAGAAACCGATTGCTAATTTATAACACCATGGTAATGGATCTACCATTACCCACCTTTCGCGGTTCAAATGGACTTTGTGTATTATAAAATATGAAAATACTCAACGTTGATGGACACATGTGACCGCTTTCAGTTCTTTAGGTGAATTAAATGACCATTTTAAAACCATCTGTACATGTATTGTCTTCAAGCAGCTTCATTGTTATTAATTCTTCACATATCTGCTCTAATGTATTTGTTGTGATTATGCAGTGTGTCGTGTAAATGGTTTTAAATCTATTCAGAACCAAATGAACTAAGCAAGTGTTATCGTGATTACTTAATGGCAGAATATGCTGCGTTAAATATCAACATTGAAGAAAGAAAGGAAAATACAAATTCTTGTCTTGGGTATCCTACTTAAAATCACCAGTTCAAAATGCATATAAAATGGCGCACTCGTGATAACTTACAAAGTTCATCAATTGATGCCTCTTTATTAATAAAACAAACAAATATATTGATAAATTGATTTACATAATCATCACTATGTGTATTCACTCAAAGATAATTTTATCTAAATAGTGTGTAAAATGAAAGATTATCCAAGGTCTATTCACTGTACTCATAAATGAAGTCTGATGACTGAAATAAGAACCCGTCTGATAGTTATTAATTTCAGATGATACTCTGACTAAGATCATATCCAGATATTACGCGTAGAACCTGAATAACTCCTTCCCAAATGGATGTACATTCTTGATGGAACCAGACTAGTCTGTTGAGATTTATTCTTACATGTTTGCAAGGTATATTTGCAGACATGTTACAGTCACTGACTATGGATTAATATGATTCGATAAATCGAAAAGTGATTGGAAAATATTTTCCAGCTGCTCCTATCCATTCAACAGCGTAATATGTGCTGAGGCTTTAATGGGTGAACATCAAATAGGCCATTTCTGTGACAATAAAGTAGACATTGACTTATCGCTTGACGAAATTCTGATTATCTGACTTTCCCTATGTAAACATACTTTACCAGAAATATTTATTACTTCGTATTCAAAACATCACTTTTCGTCGTACAACAACTGCACTCACCATTATCACGAATATGTTGAGCTACAAGTAATTCAAACAAATGTTGACAAGTCATTATAGTTTAAAATAGAAAATAAAAATTCGAATGTGAAATGATGTGCATACAATAATTGACATATCTGTAACCTGAGTCATCTTTCTCCTGGTTTCCGTTCTATTTGATTCACTAACAGTTGTCAGGTTCTCCTCTCTTAGCCAGTATGCATGAAAGGAATTTCAGTGTTCTAACTGATAACATTGATTTCGACCTCTGTGGCGTTTCCGTTGTAGTTAACTAGCCATTGTGACTAACGGATAGTAGACATGTTAGCATGATTGTTCATCTATTGTCTGCTAAATACTCTGCAAATATTTCCGTTGATTTTTCAAAGAGCGTCGAACAAGTTGTATGCGATTTATCCTACCTCCATCTGAACCCCCTATCAATTGCAAATAAGCATAATAAATCGTGTTTATCTTGTGAAATCATCAATGATTCATAATACTCACCATTTGCTTTGCAGCATGCATCTGAAAATACATGTATCATATAGAACAGTTTAATCAGGTAAAATACAGTAAGCTTCCAAGCAAATTTCTTTAAGGAAATCATGTAGTGGATCATGAAAAATTGTAAAGTAAAACATAGAAACAGAAACAGAAACGGTGAGTTGAATAGATAAATTACAGCTGGTCGCACTTTAATCCCGTTACAAATAATATGACAATTAGTAGCATGAAGATGATCCCCAGCTTCTCCTTGATTTCTTGAATAATGCAAGTTTAGACGAATTTCCACTTAAATCCCGGCCATTCATGCTTCACTGCGGAATTCACCATCAGCTGACTTCTCCTCATATACCACTGATCACCTATTACTCATATAACAACCTTATGCATGATTTAATGAATATATGAGTTCTTCAATAAAGTAGGACAATACGAGCTGGTTTAATTTCGTGGATTCTCTTCAAATGAGTACAAAATCAGTTATAAGTTACTACGGTTCAGAGCGTAACTTTCATAATGACTTCAACTTATAGATAGAAAGTACAGGCAACACAGTATCAATCTACAACTCAAAATCATTGTAAAATTTACGTTCAGAAATTTCACAAACTACAAGTGATTTTGTTTAGGATGTACGCAGTTGAAAAAAACCAACGAAATATAACGATCTCATATCATCCTGCGAATATGTTCAAACTAATAAAGGCAACCGACTGTACACAATATGACTGTATGTTTATCTGAGTAGGTAACATCTAAGTACCCGTGAAAGCCACAGATTAAATATTCTGAAAGGTTAAATGTAACTCCAGAAACTCACCTAATAGACTTATTTGATGCTCTGTAGAAAGACAATTACAAAATAAAATGAACATATTCAATAATTTGATGAGTTTTATAGTTTGTATCAGAAGTAGATGCTTAATTAAACAAAACCTAAAAATATCTCAAAGATTGATCTCGAGAATAGTGTTGATTTTGATAGTGCCATAAGTATGAACCAAGAGAAGCATCATTGGGTACCTTGTCTCATAAAATAAAGTTTATCTACATTTTCACATTACCACGTACAAATTTAAGTAGATGGTTGGAAGCCAATTTTAATAGTGATATTTCAGTTAAGCAGGTAGAGTAACAAACTAGTATTTTGATGCATATCCTAAGATTGGGTCATTTTCAATTGACAAACGGCACTTATTGAAACGGAGGAAAACAGCTTGAATTCCCTGTAATCTCAGTCTAGCTAAGCAGATTTAGATTGAAGAATGCAAACAGAAGCTAACCATGACAGGTTATCTCATAAAGTGTTAAGCTTAATTTGACATCAGTTAATTCTGCTATTTCACCGGAAGAGTATAAGTAAAATGACATTAAGTGTGTCAACCGTCAAATCCTGGTAATTACTTCGTTTTGAGCACTTTTGCTTGCACCTTCACTGATATAATTGTGTGGTGAACATGTCCTACTATGCAAATTTGAGATACACTACGACTTGAGTGTACAAAATTGTAATAGTCAACAGTCATGCTCATTCTGAGATGGAAGCTTCATTACTTACAGAGCAGTTGCTATAAGCCAGAGTAGTTGTTTATGTGCCGTCGGACAATAATGGTTTACCATAGTTGTATTAACACATTGACAATTAAATAAGAATCAGTCTATTCACACATATCGAATTGTCTCAAATTCGCCAGAGTGTGTAGGAAATCAACAATACTCAAAGGTGATAAAATGGACATTAATTATCTGAAGTAGGACTCAAACCATAGTTAATATAATGCAAATTTTGTGCAGTTTACAATATCAAGAATGTTAATTATTTAATCAGGTGTCAGTTTATAAATACTATAAGTTATATTTGAATCATACCATTGGCTAAAGCTATTTCCTCTGTACATGAAATGGAAAAAATTAGAAATCAAATTTAAAATTGTGTAATAATGAGCAAAGTCGTTAGCCTAATTATAAAAATTAATATCGTGTGAATTCAGTGAAGACAAAACCTACTCTGATTATACGCATTCCACTTAGATTAGGTGTTCAGTTTCACACACCAATGAATAGGAAACCAGACATTTGTGCTGTTGTTTCGACAACGTTCACCACTTAAGCGTGCATGACATATGGTGTATTGAAAAGTGACATCGCTACGCTTATTAGTGAATCTGGTGGAGTTGCGAAATTCACCACTCGTTCTAATAATGGCAGTTAGACAATAACCTGGTTAGCATCTAGTTCTCATAGCTCAGGAAATAGATCAACAAAATATCAATTCACAGGCTACTCGTTCGAATCTATCTGCGACCATGGCATTCATTCTATTCATTCACCTTCAGGCACTGTGAATAAAACAAATAGTAATCCTGCTGTGAAGTGAACATCGTCTCAGAAGCAACTGACAGTATCAGTGTGAAGTGAGACGAATGTGTTCATTTTGGCTACTTGTGAGTATAACAAAAAGGAATTATTTGGGTTGTGATGATTACACCATTTCACTTCCAGTAATTTCTTTAACTTGGTGAAGTCCTTTTAAATTCAATCTACAAACTGGTCATACTGGAAGATGATTGTTTCATCTTACTTTCAGTATTTTGTATGGAAGTACTAAAACACTCAATTTGAGAATGTTCACTGGGTGTTTATCCGGTTCGTTGCTTTCAAGTAAATTTTCCATTTCTATTGTGATGCTCAACTTACGTATTTGTTCAATCGCAGCTTCTATGAAATTGAAAAATGAATCCATTCACAATCACTCTCTGATGGTTTGTGTAACGCAACGTAATAAGTAAGAATGTGGTTACTATTACATAAATACGCTTATATAATCTCTTAAATAGTGTGGATGTGACTCATTCAAATGTTTATTTTTAGCTGTTGTACTTGAATGTGATCTTCATCAACGTACGACAGCACGAGTGCTACTATTGTTAAACATCACTAATTATTCTTATTATTAATAAAACGTTAGTAATGACTTTTGTTCCAAGGTAATATCAACTAGAAGAGAAAGACCACAAAATGGCCACATTCACTACAGATTAAAATTATGAATGCCAAAACGGTTTCACCTTGTATTAAAGGCGAAATATTACAGTTAACAGTGTTTCGCTACTTTAGACATTACAAAACACACTAAGTTAAGGTAGTTACAACATTCTCTGAGGTTCTCATCAGCAAGATAATTAATGTGATTCATGAACAGATCATCTTTAATTATTCACTCCTTTTTATATATTGCACAATGTTTCAGAAGCTAGTTGCACAAATACTGCTTCAGTCAGCAACACATGAATTCATTTTCATTGTCCCGATAAAGACGCATTACATGAAGGTAATTTTAGCTTACGTATATGAGGAGCTGCGTAAAATATTAGGAGATATGGTGAACTGTTATTGTGAAATCTGATAGTTACAATAAATTTCATCCTTTCAAAAATTACCGTATGTACATGTGGTTGAACCTTTGTGACTGATAATTTAGTGATGTGTCAAAACAGTGAATCTGGAAGACAATCAACTAATCGTAGCAATGTGTACTTTTCAGTTCGATTGAAAAATAAAGACTGTCAAGTGAATATCAGCTGCTCTTAGATATCGAGTGATTCTATTTATATGCTATTGGATTTTGAATACATGTATGAAAGTAATTCAGACAGAATAAAAAGTGCTTAAGCATGTTAGGCAATAGTTTGTAGTGACTTTTAACAGCTGAGAATGCTCATCCTCCTAACTTCAGTTTAAAGCTGACGCCACCTTACAGGAGCGTGTTTGTGGACCAGGTAACCCGGGCGCATTGGAAATTAAACTAATATGCAATCAATGACCGTGGCATTTTAGAACTACACTGTGTAACCACGCTTAGAAGCATTGTCGAAATTTTCAAGTATTGGTTTTGTGGAGATATTGTTTAATTGGATGGGAGATTTCATCATGAGCTGACATCAGTTAGACAACCACTGAAAAACCTGGGAATACTGGACAGCTGTTTCGTCCTAGTCGAAATATTTGCAATTCTAGCTCTAACTTTGGCATCAGAGTCATGGTTTGCAAATAAATGATTTCACCCAATCTGCTCATGTATATGCGAATAAGTATTTGAAAAAAAATGCTACATATGTGTAAATTATTTAGGATTTTAAGGAGAAGAAATGGTGCTTAACTGGTTACATAAGGACGATCACCATGGATTATATGACTTCACAATGAGAAGTGTCTATATAAGTTTGACCCGAAGGAGGTTATAATTCATTATAATGATTTGAATCACTGAATGCAGGATTACAACAATCTTTTGAACAAAATGTTTTCATTCGTTTCAACAGGAATAAAATGTAGAAAACGAAGTACATTTAAAATGATGAATAAATTATTTAAATGATCACTTACTACGATGCCAACAGTCTGCGAAAAAAACCGTTAGATGAAATCACTATTTTGACAACACAGTTTGGCTAATTGACAGTCCAAACGAAAAATAGCACGCGTGCATAAAGTCAAATGAAATTCATTTATAAGAAATTAGCGTTAGGACTTATGGCCTAAGGAAATGGTTGAAACGTTTCGAAACGTTTAACATGTTCGGTAGAATATATAATATATTCGAAAATTATAGCATAGTGGAATGAAAATCGTGAAGCTTTACATCCACCTATAAAATTTCTAATGTATTGTGTCAGTTCATCCCCATCGTACATCTGAAGTAATCGGGCAATAAGGAGGTGCCAATGTCTGTTTGAAAAATGTCGTTTTGTCATGACAACTGAAGGAACCATTCAATCACTGGTATCAATAATTGAACTTTCTAGTTCGTGAACTACTCAATAATAATGTACAGTAAACCAAGCTAATTCAAAAAGGAAATTATGACTTGGTGTGCTTCTGTCGAATTTTGAACGAAATGATACAGAATATTACAAAATAGACATCAGAAGGTTTATTTCCTATGATGACGAATAGCAACGAATTGCAGATTGTAATAGAAAGTGGCAAGTTTAACAGCACTGAATGACTGACTGCTGTGCAGAAAGAAACATTGCATTGCAGTGCAGTCACTGTGAAGTCAAACCTAGCTTATTTTCTTTCCTTGTGACAATGAATTTTAACAGGAACAAGTAAGACTCACCTGCTCTGCCGACGAAGTAAAATAGAAACAGCAAACAAAAAGCTTGCATTGTGAGGTGAAACCGTATTCTTGAGTTTTCTGAGCAAACTACTGTCTGTATTTATACCTTTTCTAATATCACGTTTTCTCTGCATGATGTTCTGTTATTCTGAATATAAGTGGTCTTCGCGTGGTGAGATTCGTAATTGTTTTGACTAGACATCTCTGATAGCTAATAACAAGCCTTCTCAAGTGAGGATTATTCAGAAATTGTAGACACGTCGAAAACTGAATAGCTCTCATTTATTCACTCAGCTCTACCACTATGTTAAGTGTCATTACAGTTCACCTCGAGATTCTTTGTGTACAATTAAACATTTTATGGCATAGACTTTTTGCAATACTCAAGCATCTTGTTTTCATAAGATTTACTTCTCAATAAGGGGCAATCTCACTTCTAATCTCTTAAACCTATGATCAACACACTGTAGGAATAGGTTTGCATGTAAATCGGTCTCAGTGTCTAGAAATATACTAACTCACTCTGATAAGTCATGTGATTAATTCTTAGATTTCCACCATATTTGATGTCTATTTAGTGACTAAACTGCATGCAAAGGTTTGTGAAATTGTGCGCCACGTAACTCTAATCCATGTGCAACCCATACAACAAAGGTCTAACTATTCATTTCTTCGAATAATATTAATGATAGCTTCATTCTGCACACTCTTGTACTGAACACAGAATTTTCAGCTCGTTTTATCTATTTTTAATGCGGAACATCCGAGATAAACAGTAGTCTATAGTGTATCACATGCAAGAATTTTGTTGTATCTAAAACACCCTGTAACGTTCAACTTATTCGCCTCTTCAAAATGGGTCAAGTAACGTGTTGATTGCCATTCGAAAATGTACGTAAAACAAAGTTAAAATAATGTGTAAAATAGTTAATTCGAGGCATTGTGATCTGTTGAAAATCAGGTAGCCCAATGATATAAGGCGATTGCTAGTTTAGAACTTGGTCACAAAACGTTGGTGAAACGTCTCTGTATAAAATACCTTCGTGCAATAAAGATAGTTTGTTTCCGAATCATAAAATGAACTCCCCAATGTAAGTGTTGCATCATTAGATGAGAATCTGGAGGCAGATTTTGTATTAGTCGTATGTAAGGAGTACTTGTTGGTGCTGAAATTTTGGATTTTTCAATAATATAGTCTGAGGGTATTCAAGCAGATGCCTACAAATACTCGAAAGTTTTAAGAGATAAGATTATCTTCAAAGCGTACGGAAATCCTACTCCACTGACGAACAGGGTGTAAAACACAGATTAAGCAGAAATTTAAGATACCTGACCATATAGTTAACCTTTTATTTTGAGCACTGGACTAACAACACATTTAGCAGGGCAACACGCATCCACCATGCTCTATCGATATTTAGTGACCAACTTGGTTGTTGATATTACATTGATTAGTAGTCTGCAATCACCAATATCATCACATTCGGCTGGCTCCATGACTGTCCAAAATCTCTCATTTCGTCTTCACATGATCACCTCTACTCTGTCCTCCCACCCAAACACAACGCATCGCCTGCTATCCAAGTTTTAATTCAGAGTCTATCCATTTTGTGATGTGACCTCAATGTCTTCTTGACATACAATTGATCCTAATGTCTAACTTTCAATAAACTGCTTCACGTTAAGTTTGTAGAAAGGTGCTTTGGAGTCAAAAGTGGACAAATTGTTGATGAAACCTGATGACACATAATTTGTCATAATGATTTCCACTTAACCTATGTTTTATGAGAGTTAAATGATAGTCATCTTTCAGCTAAATTCACTCTAGAACTAAAAAATGAATCGAATATTTGATTTCTGACTGTAGTAGTGACAAGAGAGGCATCACAGGATTTTGAAGACGTGGATTTACAAAAACGTTTTTGGAATGGCCATAACACATTTGTTTATTCGGATACTCATGATTTATATAACAACTGTAACTTCTCTTTTGCGTCGCAAGAATCTACGTAACTGCCTGTTTAGAAGAAAAGTTCACGCTTCTAAAAATGATCCATCCCCTAAGTGGATACCTGACATCGTTCGCGGAGGAAAACATCAAAATGCAGACAAACAGAATAGAATGGAGTCCAGTGCTGAAGAAAATATTACACATCCCACTGAATTTTAGGGGAAAAAGACATCAGACTTCTCAAAAGTGAGAATCACTAGTCGCCTACAGAAGACCATTTATTCAGCCACCTACTGCCTCTAATTAATTGGGAGAATAAACTACCCCACATGACTACTTAAATGTCCACTGATCAGTGCAGGTGCTCCTGTGGGTTTAGTCACCTAGGTCGTTCCATGTGCCACATTTCAGAACGTGTTAAAGAACAAAACCCAGCGTGTCTATAAAAAGCCGATATTGGTTCATTCAGAGGAGCCATAACCTAATAACATTTCAGCATATAGGCTGACTCAACACTCAGAGTAACTTAAAAACTGAACAGAAAGCAACCAGAGGCGGTGTGTCGTTAACTTTCTGTACAGCAGAAGCCTTCAAAATATGCATTGAGAAGTCGGAGCTATTTGTCCGTAATGAGCTTTTTCAACCTCCGTATCTACTATAGACCTGAGCT